CATGGGCTTCGTTGTTTCATATGCTAGTAAGTAGAAAGAGGAGCCAAGGGCCAGGGGGCTGGGATTCCCAGGGAGTTGGCCTTTTCCCACCCTGTGACATTTTGTGGCTAGTCTTGGGATGGCCATGGTGCCTTGGGGCGTGTTATTCACCATATTACTATTACAATGGGTGTATAATGAAGCTCAAGATCTGCTAGAAGTTAAATCTCTTCATCCTGTGCCTCAAGGCCTATTGGGGGTTGAATCCTTCCCCATTTTGATGTTAATTGCTGTGGCCTTCCTTTAATGGCTGTGCTCTGCCCCCTTCCATCCTATCTCACTGTGATGGCACAGAGAGAGCAAAGGCCGGGCCCTGCCTGTGCTCCTGCATTTAACAGGGGGAGGGGTGTGGTGGCCTGAGGATGACTCTGAGTGTTGAGAAGGATGTTTCAGATTTTCCCACGTGGGACATGGGGAAGTGCCAGCAGCCACTGCAGATTTATATCACGGCCATTATCGCTTGTGTCAATCATCTTTTACTATATTTCTTTTTTTTTTGAAGTATTTAATCTATATTTAATATCAGTTTTTTTAGGAAAGAAATTTCTCTTTTCCTTTTCTTTGGGGCTCTTTTGGGGGGTAGGTAATAAGGTGTATTTATCTGTTAGTGGAGGCCCTGGCGCTTGAACCCAGGACCCCGTGCACGCTAAGCACACGCTCTACCACCCGCCCCATCATCTTTTTGCTTTAGCTGCCAAGAATCTTACAGCTGAATTTCTACTGGGCCTTTAACACTTACCCTGACATCATGGCATTCGTTTTTATGTCTTTACCTCCCCCTGGTTTCATTTAAGTATTGAATCTCCATTTTATCTTCACTCTCACTTTTGTCTTTTTGTTGTTATGGTTGTTAAGCTGTGTTTAAAAAATTGTTTAATTTCTCTTTTAGCAGGGGGCTGAAAGTAAATAAATATGTAAACAAACTTATCACACTTAAATATTTTATACATTCTAAGCTGTTTAGTAGTTACTTAAAAACAAAATTGAATACTAAAATGATAATATTTTTAAATTATTTTTTTATTTTTTATAAATGTATAGCTGATTTACAATATGATATGTTTCAGGTGTACAATAGTTGCACAATTTTTATTGTTATGCTCCATTTATAGTTATTGTAAAACATTGGCTATATTCCCTGTGTTGTAAGAT